ATTAACTTAATTTACACAAGTTACCTTAACAAATGTTTTCAGCTTTAAGTTATTTGAGTTAATAAACGTTAAACAGTTTGAGTTAAACTGACTCATTTAAAAAACATTTAAAGTAACACAAACGTTTGCAAGTTACAAACAGTGTTGATTAAGTATTTTTTACAACGTATTTTGTTTTCACAGTGCAAATAAAAATGACTAAATTAGGTCAGAACTTATAAAATTGAGTTTATACCACACAATATGTCTGGTTTTACAGTTTTATATAAACTATATCTTCATTAAACAGACAGCAGATGTGCTGTATCAGGATAACTAAGGGCCAGAAAGAAGAATGGGATTTAAAGGGTTAAAATGACATCTTTTAACAATCAACAATGACTATGATCATTTAATTTTATAAGAATAATGTGCAAATATCACAAACAACTCAACACTAGCACAGAAACACTAAATAATAACAGAAACATGTTTTTTTCTTGCACTAATTATTGATAATGAAACTAAACTATACGATTGTAACCTGAAACGTTTGTGTGAGGTTTATAAATGTGTAAATAAGGTGAGCTGTGTCAGTTTATGGTCACAGGAACATCAACATTAAACTGCTGCCTGTCACAAAGTTAACAGCTTGTTAGCTCATGTTAGCAGCTTAGCTTAGCTTCAGCTGCTTTCCAGGTCTGCTTGCATTGCCACCGCTGCACAGGAGAGCTAGCATTCACACAGAGCATCCTCTCATTTAAACTGCAGCATTCAGTGAACATGGATGTGTTAAGTCCTCTATATTCTGGATATTATGACAGCTGGTAGAAAAAGAAATGGCTAAACTGGCCCCGTTTTCTTATATCGCGAGAACGTCAAACCAGACTCCAGTCACAAATCTGCTAATTTAATATTTTCTTGTTTAGGGGCAGAGCTTAGATTTACAAAAACATGATTAAGGGCGATTAAACACACATATAAAAACCACCTATCAGTTCGGAGGGAGTAGAATACAGAAACTATGTTTGCTTTAATAGAATCTGGTGTTAAACTGATGTTAACACTCCCGGAGACGCCCCGGCAGCGGGACGCGCTTTCGCCGAACAACACCGTGTGAAGTACGGGTGATCCGGCGCTGAAAGCCGTATCCAGTGCTGCACACGGCGTCGGGATGTTAGCCGCATTAAAGGATGCATCTAACCGATTCAGAAAACATCTTCGGTTCAGTTCTCCCGGACTTTCATCTTCACCCATCGGGAAAACAGCTTTAAATAGCAGAATAGGAGATGGAATTCTGCACGGAGGAAGACTGGGAGAATCCAGCGAGGAAAAGGGTACTGACCTTTTTTGGAGTGGGTTTTGGGATTCTTCCTCTGGGCCATTTCTCCGTAAATCCTCCCCAGCTGGTTTCACTTATATAAGATAACAAACTAACAAACTAACTAAGATGTATTTATGGTAAAACGATGAAGCCAGCTCCTTCTTTCTGCTCTCATTGATGAAGCGACCAGATAAAACCAACAAAAAGAAATCACGTCCTCACTTGGATACCAGCGAAGCAAAGTCCATAGTAACCGTGAGTGACTTTGAATTCCAACCAATCAGAGCCGCGGATCCTGCCGATGGGCGGGACTAAAGGCGGGCTCTGGTGAGTGTGGACCAATCAGGTGGCAGGAGCAGCTTCCCAGTCTCGGCTCTGTCTTTGGAAAGGAGCAAAAACGTGGCAGAGTTTGAAACATCTGGGGCGGAGAAAGACATCAAGAGACATCATGATGGGTGTTTTAATGAACTTTATTGATTCAGGGTTTAATGTAGATTAAATAACGAATAAAAAAACAGAAAGAAAGTATGATTAAAAGTCAAGAACAATGACATTAAAGTGTACAAAAACATTTATTTTTATACTTCTTTTCCCCAAATCTGTCATTATCATCATCTTTTTTATGATTAATCATCATTATCATCACCAGGTTGCATTATGAGCTGATGAATAAAGTGAGCAGCTCCCCCTGTAGTGTTTCACCATTAAGTGCCTGCTCGGTATATTAATCTTCTCTTGGACAAACTGTATTTGTTATTATTTTACACCTGTGTGTAACCACACATACATATATATCACCTCATTGCCCCCCAGAGCAAAACAATTCTTCAATATCTAACATTTAACAATACTGATCTAAAATGCTAAAAAAAAACAATAGAAAAAAATGTCTACGAGTGTCAAACATGTAAAATGTAAATTAAATATACCAACTTTTATTTAAAAACTTGTTGTCCTATGTATTAAATATGGTCTTAATTGTTTGTTTTGTTCCTCACTTATGTCTCTTTTATTTCTTTTATTAGGGCCCGAACAGTAACACTGTGATTATTATTATTTCAAAACCAAATTAATCACATTTTTTGAGGCTTTAACATCCTTGAAAACTCATGAAACTTTACACAAAATTCAACGGCAGGAGAAATTTAAGGATCCTATTGGTTTTATTTAATTTATTTTTTATTTATTTATTAATTTTATGTTACCAATGTATCATTTAGGGTGTCAGAAGGGAGGTAGAGTTGATGAATGTTTGTATATTTATGTTAAAATGACATTTATTAGACTATTAGGTAAAGGCTAAAATTCTATGATAGAAAAACTTGATCATAAAAAACATTTAGTAAGTATTTTACTAATAAATATAACAACTTCTGA